AGGAGAGTTTAATATCAGTTTCGGTTCAGTAGGGGAATATTTGTGATATGCATGAAAGCACAGAAGGGTGATATAAAAATAGATGATGTTATCAATGTCTTATGCATAAAAGGTGCTCAGAATAACAGTTTTTATTTCATTTATGATTTCAAAAGTATGACGGTCTGCTGCTTTTAAAAAATAGAGAAATCCTTCATTTGCTTTCTATACAAAAAAAAAAAAATATGTATTCTTCAGCTCCAGCAACTATCTTTCTCAAACTTCCATGACTTCCATGCTGAGAATAACCCTAGCAGGTCAAAACTTCCTGGATCCATCTTGAATGGGATTGGGCCCTCTCCTCTAATCTCCTTTGTCCACATACACTCAGGGCCTGAATGGAATCCAGCCCAGATGTGCAGAGACAGAAAGCCTTCACCTTATTTTCAGACTGATGTTAACAGTAAGCCCTACATTGTCCCCTCTAGCCATGCTGAGCCCTGGCCTCCAGCTACCACTTAGCACTGCTGTTATCTTAAACTATACGGCTGCTTCCCTGCTTGCTTCACTGATAGGGGGCCAGCAGGGTCCCACCAGGGAGCAACAGAAAAGCAGTGGGATTGTGGGCAGCATATTTAGATCAACTGTGTGTTATAGCCGACTTCTCTGCAGAGCGCTTGAAACTTCCCTGGAATAATTTCCACAGAAGAAAAAATTCACTATGTATTGGCAACAGCAACAACATATGCCAGATTCTACATATACAGTCAAACACATTCATGGAGCACACATTCTATCCATTTTATGTATATCGGAAATGGGGTTGCCAGGTTTAGCAAACAAAAATATAGGACACCCAGCTAAATTTGAATTTCAGATAAGCAAATAATTTTTTCAGTATAAGTATGTGCCATGTGTTAAAAGATCAACTGAGGCATATTTAAAATGTTTAAAGTTTATTTAAACTTTAAAGTTAAGTAAAGAAAAGAAATTATTTGCTTGGCTATGCCTACTTGGCTGTTTGTGATTGGTTGTCATGAGTGTTTTGATTTTGAGACATTTGCAGGCTTAGATTTTGGATTGTGTAGGTATGCCGCCATGGTATTAGCCACCTCCATCTAGAGGCCTGCTTGCTTAATTGATTTAACACAGGTGATAGTAATACATGTATTAATTATACTTATAGTTAATAATTATTTGTTGTTCATTGGAAATTCAACTTTGACTATGTGCCCCACATTTTATCTGGTAACTCTAACTGGGAGTACTAAGGAGAGAGTTTCAGAGTGGTGGCAATTAGAGGAACAGGAGGGAGAAGGGCATTGAAGCAGCAGAAACTACGGTTAAAGAAACACAGTCCAGGAGCCCTCAGGGGATGTCTGACTGACGGCTTAGGCCCTCTCCTCACTCAGTCCCGATTGGCCGGACCCCAGCAGCAAGCTAACCTACCGGTCGAAGCATCTTCCCCCTGGTGGTCAGTGCGCATCATAGTGAGTAGTTGAGCGGCCTTAGCATATCATTAGCATATTACACTTTGATTGGTTGAACGGACGACCAGACACTTAGCATATTAGTCTTTTATTATATAGGATTTTTACCACCTCTAGCAAGAGATATTATTGGGATGTCTCAGTTGCATGATTCTTTAAATGTGTACACAGCTATGAATGTTTAAGTGAGGAATATAGCTTTGCCCCTACCCTGTTGCCTCCATATATTTGAATGTGTGTATATGTGTTCCTATGTAAAGATGCCAGTGAACTCAAATGTGTATATGACTATCCTATTTCCTGGAGTGGATGACTTTATTCTATAATCAAGAAAAGACCCAGGAAATTCTTCTTGTAACTGCTTGTAATATTTCTCAGCTGTGGTTCCAATGTTCTCCCAAAGTGCTGATTCATGATAACAGCGGCAAATTAACATAGTGTATTGGGGGTTTTTTTATATATGTGTGTGTGTTTTCATTTATCTTTATTGTTGAAAGTTTTACATATTCCCCCCCTTTTTTCCCATTGACCCCCTCCACCCCACATCTTCCTCCCCCCAGGCCTTCACCACATAATTGTCTGTATCCATGGGTTATGCATATAAGTTCTTTTGTTAATCTCTCCTCACCCATCCACACCCACCCACACCTTCCCTCTGAGATTTGTCAGTCTGTTCCATGCTTCTATGTCTCTGAATCTATTTTGTTTATCAGTTTATTTTGTTCATTAGATTCCACATTAGAGTGAGATCATGTGATACTTGTCTTTCTCTGACTGGCTTGTTTCACTTAACATAATATTCTCCAGGTCCCTCCATGCTGTTATTTTTTACAACTGCATAGTATTTCATGATGTAAATGTACCACAGCTTTTTTATGCACTCATCTACTAATGGGCACTTGGGCTATTTCCAGACCTTAGCTATTATAAATTGTGCTGTTATGCACATTGGGGTGCATATATTCTTTCTGATTGGTGTTTCTGGTTTCTTAGTATATATTTCTAAAAGTAGGATCACTGGGTCAAATGACAGTTCCATATTTAATTTTGTTGAATAAAATTCATACTGTTTTGCACAGTGGCTGCACCAGTCTGCATTCCCACCAGCAGTGTACTAGGGTTCCCTTTTTTTCATATCCTTGCCAGCATTTGTCATTTGTTGATTTGTTGATGGTAGCCATTCTGACAGGTGTGAGGTGATGCCTCATTGGCATTTTAACTTGCATCTCTCTGATGATGAGTGACTTTGAGCATTTTTTTCATGTCCCTTGGCCATTTGTATGTCTATTTAGATCCTTTGCCCATTTTTTTAATTGGATTCTTTGTTTTACTTTTGTTAAGTTGTATGAATTCCTTATATATCTTAGAAATTACCCCTTATTAGATGTATCATTGCCAAATATGTTCTCCCATTCAGTTGGCTTCCTTTTCTTTTTATTTGTGGTTAGTTTTCTGTGCAGAAGTATTGTTATTTCCAGAATAATGACTTCAGAATGATATTATTTGTCCATTCACATGGACGGTGTATAAGCAGGGGAGTGGGAAGTGTTATAGACAAGGCAATGCCAATGGGATGGTAGGCAGCACAACAATGGCAAATAATTCATTGAAGAACAAGTCTTATACTTTTGATGAAGGAATATTAGAAAAAAAGGGACACGGAGGCAACCAAGAAATCAGAGTAGTCTTTGTAGCATTGTCTCTTTTCTGCATCTTGCTGTATTAATTGAGCCCTATTTTGTGACCACCATTGGTCATAACTAACCAAGGAATCCATGAGGGGGAAAGGAGGTCAGATGGGGGAGAGGCCCAAGGAGATGCTGAATGTGGAGTTGGCAGGACAGAACAAGAAAAGTAAACGATCCCATTAGGAATAAAATTTTTGAAGACTGTGTCTCCAAATCCAGCAGACCCCTGGGCATAGTTCCAGGCCTTACTCAGAATTTTGTAGCAATTTTTAAGATAAAGTGATTTTCCTAAATATCACTAGTTTTGTTTGTTTGTTTGTTTTGTTTGTTTTGTTTGTTTTTGTTAATCCTCACCCAAGGATATTTTTCCATTGACCTTTTAGAGAGAGTGGAAGAGAGAGGGAAAGACAGAGAGAAACATCAATGTGAGAGAAACACATAGATTTGTTGCCTCCAGCACACACACCCCTGGGGCCCGGGCTGGGGAAGAGCCTGCAACCGTGGTAAGTGCCCTTGACCAGAATCAAACCAGGGACTCTTTGGTCCACAGGCCAACACTCTATCCACTGAGCCAAACCAGCTAGCACAAAATATCACTAGCTTTTACTTTACTTTTACACGTGTCTGGATCTTCTTAAAGTTCCCAGCTATTCTGTTCATTTTATCTTCTAATGCAAATGAAAACCTGGAAAGGGTCAATGTTCACACCAACTGGATACTTAAGTGAAGGAATTTGAACACAAAACAAAGAGAACCATAGCCTATGGGACACCAGCCTATGAAACTGTGCTGCAAGCTGGAGCATCTCTTCAAGACAATGCGGTTGCTTTCTCTGCCACGTAGCACCATAGAGCTGAAGGAATGGCAGAGAGCATCTCATCTCAGCTAACGCCCTTCCCACAGACACAGGAACAGCGCAGTTCAGCTGTGGCCAAGCCCAGTACCCAGGCTCTCTGATTATGCTACACTCTTTCTAGTAATAATAGCTCTACTATTCCTAATACCTACTGTGTGCCAGGTACTATTCTGAGCACTTTACAGGTTACTTTATTTAATCCTACGACCACTCCCATGATGTCAGTGCAGATTACTCCATGTACTTTCTTTAAGTGAGGAATCTGAGGCCTGGAATCAAATAACTTGCTCAATCTCAAAACTGACCAAAGGGCTGAGCTTCTTACCCTGAACACACACACACTCCCGCCCCTACACGGGGTGCTTATTTCCCCGCCATCAACCTTCCTTCACCCCAATGAAGAAGAGTAGGTACTTGGCGCTTCCTTTCGCCCGGCTTCATTGTGCAGTAATTTACTAGATTCTGCCTGGCATCCTGTCACACATAGAAAATATCATCAGAACACCTGGCCTTGCATTGAGCGATGCTGCCTTCTCTCTATAGTGGTTATCAGCTTGTTTGTCCTCCTTCTAAGCAAAATCTCTGACTGTTCCTTGAAATGCTTAAAGCAAAGTGATCCCTAAGAGGAACTTCATTATCTCCAGTTTCACCTGCCTTCGTTCTATGTGAAAAATAAAGAATTTTTATAATTATGAAGTAGCAGGAGGGATGAGAAAGTTGATACAATTGTAAACTGAATTTTTACAGGCTCCGATTAATTATCTGATTGGCAACTGACCCCCATGCCAGAGCGGGAATGTATGCAAAGCCTTGGGCTAATCATATCATACTCCATGCAGTTATGAAAACGCATTGTTAATAAGCCACCAACCGGAGCTGCCTGAGGCTGTCTGATTTCTTTCCCTTTTCTCTCTTCAACTTCTAGTGCAACTGAGCTCAGCCTTTGAGTGCATAGACCAATAAATGACCATCTTTTCTGCTGCACAGAACCTGAAGCGGGTGGCGGAGACCTGGATGGACGAATTTGCCGAGTACATTTACCAGCGCCGCCCGGAGTACAGGCACCTCTCCACGGGGGACATCTCCGCCCAGAAGGAGTTGCGCAAACAGCTCAAGTGCAAGGACTTCAAGTGGTTCATGGCGGCTGTGGCCTGGGATGTGCCGAAGTACTACCCTCCCGTGGAGCCCCCACCTGCTGCCTGGGGAGAGGTGAGGAGCGCCTGCGTGAACCCTGCTCTTGCTTTAGTGCGTCCATCTCTCCCAGCCTCAGGAGGTGGGAGGGGCTGCTGAAACCCTCACTCCTTTGCCCAGCAGGAAAGTCACGTTAGCTTAAGTCACCTTGGCTAGATGAATGTTCAACCTTTTTTAAAAATATATATTTTATTGATTTTTTACAGAGAGGAAGGGAGAGGGATAGAGAGCTAGAAACATCGATGAGAGAGAAACATCGATCAGCTGCCTCCTGCACCCCCACCACTGGGGATGGGCCCGCAACCAAGGTACATGCCCTTGACCAGAATCGAACCTGGGACTCTTCAGTCCGCAGGCCAAGGCTCTATCCACTGAGCCAAACCGGTTAGGGCAATGTTCAACCTTTTTAGACATTGCGAGGGGTGAGCATTCAGCCCTCAGCCCCTGTAGCTCCACCTAAAAATTCTTGGCCACTGTTGACCCCCCAAGTGAATTTTTCATATACCTGAAAAATATTTTTATTTGAGGTTAGTGAGATGACCATGAAAGCTTGTAGAGAATGAACATGCCTGTCATGCTCCTGCATCGATAAGGGTGACCTGATGTCCGTGATAACATCCCTCACAGTCCCCCACGCTCAGCCTTGCTCCCGTCTGTATAAGCAAGGACAAGGTGACAGAGGGCTTGGCTTTTTTCCTACCCCGGCTGTGCTGTGCAGAATCGTGAGGAAATGCATTTCCCTTATACCCGGAACTGTGACATGCGAGGGAGCCCCGTTTGTTCCTTAAATAAGCACTAACCTTTCCACCTCCGAACGCTTTAAATATCCATCTTTGGGCATAAAAGGGCTATTGTGCTGGTTCACTTCCATTCCATCCTGTGACTATAGCCTTTTCCCCATGGAAGAGAGTGCGTAAAGCAAGAACTGAAATTGGATAGGGTGGATTTATCCCAGCAGCCTAATCTGCTTTTAGCAGAAGGTTATGGGGGAAGTGCAGGCTGGCCGCGATGCTTTCCGAAGGCAGGAGTTGACTGTTGCACGTGAACCTTTTCAGCACCATCCTTGGTGGTTTGGTGATGTGGGGAGGGCATGTCTTTGTCTGGTTAATGTCTGTGGCTTGGTAGAACTCTGAAACAGGTGGCTTGGGCATCGTAGGAGAGGCCCCGGTATTGAGGAGTGTCCCAGCTCCTGTAGGAAATGTATTCAGCAAGTTACGTGTGTGCTATTTGTTTTGCTGAGAGGGTCCAGAAAGATGTCATTCTTTACCTGTGTCAGATTCCTGGACATGAAGGAGTGGAAGCCTTCTCCACATGCTCCATCTCTTAATTTTTTTATAATATATTTTTATTGATTTTAGAGAGGAAGGGAGAGATAGAAACACCAATGATGAGAGAAAATCATTGATTGGCTGCCTCCTGCACACCTCACACTGGGGATTGAGCCTGCAACCCCAACATGTGTCCTGACACTCAACCACTGAGCCACGCCGGCTGGGCTCTTAATGTCTTTTGTATGTGCACATGGCCCTGATACTGGCTGCTTACATCAGTTAGTAATTTGGCCTAATCCTTTGCATCTTAAACATTTCATTAGAGTTTCCCCGGAACATTAGTAATATTAATCTGCCGGTATTCATTTTAGCTATTTATCGTGGGCTTAATTTACAACAGTGGAAATTGAAAGTACCCTCTAGAAAGAACTTTCTTAAGCTAATGCATCATAAGACATAGGAATTTGTTACCCAGTAAGCAGCTGAGTTCCTTCCTAGAGCTTTATGGTTAAAGTCACGCCTGTCATCTTTCTGTGATAATTTAAATGCAGTCCTGCCTTAGTGACCAAGAAATACTCCTGAAGACTTCACAGTATTATTGTGTGATTTGCAGCTGCATTAAACTTTCATCAATCTTTGCTCCACCTGATATAGAAACAAAAATGTTTATTCCTACCTGCTTACTACTTCAAACTGCATGCAGTTGGCCACATTTTCCCACATTACATGACTAGACTATAATGGGTATTTCCGAAGCACCGTGCTTGGAAATAGATTCAAGCTTCCATTGAGGTTCTAGAAAAGACACAACTTCCCAGGAATAATCAAAAAAAGACCCATCTTAGGGCCAAGTAGGCTATGCCAGAGTATTTTTACCCATTACTCTAGACTGCCTCACACCTTTTACAAGGCTTGTGTGGCCGTAGGGACATTTTCATTCATCATTCCTGGTCTAAACAATCAGACATTGAGAAGATCAGATTTTTTCTTTTAACAAGATGGCAGATTTCTTTCCTCAGTGCTTCAGAACAGCAAACAAAGAAAGGGCATATTTAGGTTAAAGGAAAGAAGAAAATGGAGGTCTAGGTCAAGGACCATCGCGTTCAGTGGCATTTGTGTAGTGAAGGCATGCTGCAGAGCAAGACTGAAGAGTCAAGGTAGGGTTTGGAGGGAGGCAGAAAGAAAGGAAATGAACAAGTGACAAGGGTTTTCACTGGTAAATCGTTTGGAAAAATACCTATTTTCTAAGCAAAATAGATCCCTAAGAGTGAATGTAATACATATGCCTTTAATGCAGGAGGTAAATGAAGTGTTTGAAATGCAGCTTAATCTAAATGAAATAATGGAAAAGAAAGAATGTTTCCTAACTATACACTGGGTAGTTACACCTTCTGTTTAACTGTGGACAAAAATTACTAAATGATCTCTGAAAAAATTTCTTTCACTTTTTTTTACTCTTGTGTTTTCTTTTCCCTTTGAGAGGGCTTTTAAAAATAATCATTGTTTCATTTTTTAATAAATCTACAGAAAAGTTGCAAAGATGGTGCAGAAAGTTTGCATATACCCTTCACCTCACTTCTTCTAATGTTAACATCATATGTTTGTACATTGGAACTAGTAATTAACATTGGTAAAATACGATTACCTAAAGTACAGACTTTATTCGGATTTCACCAATGTTAAATGTTTTTACTAATGCCTATTTTCTATTCCAGGACCCAATCTAGTATATGAGAGGGTTGTTTAATTTCCTATAAACTTTAATTGTTAGAATGGGCAAAGCTCCTAAATAAATGTCAATTGCTGTTTTAGTAAGAAAGTGAGAAAGGAAATGCATGCTGCGGAGTTTTTTTTAAAGCAGTTAGAGGAAAGAACCACAAATGTCCAACAAAGTAAACCTAAGAATTCTTTACGGGAGACCTGTGCCAAGAAGCGGGGAAGCTCGCCGTTTTGTGCACTTGTACTTGGAATGATTTTCCACCTGCTTTTCTGTGCCAGCCTGATTCTGGGTAAACAGAGAGGTGCTTAGGCAATTTTTGGCTCTGGTAGTTGAAACCCAGTTTGTAAAGGATATGTTACAGACCTTAAACACCCTATAAACTGCTACTCATTTCCCTGACAAATTCAGTCGCATTGTTGCACTTGTCTTCTAACTTATCTCTCTGCTTTTGCCCTTTCCCCCTTCTGTTTATTCTCGACATAGTCCACTTAAAATGGAGATCAGGCCCCTCCTCCATTCAAAACCTTTCAGTAGCTACCATCTCTCTAAGGGTAAGAACCAAAGTCCTTATCTGTACCATAAATGATCTGACTTCTGTTGTGGCCCCTCCAACCTCTTCTCTTACATTTCACCCCCAGCTTACTTTCCTCTAGGCACGCTGGCCTCCTCACTATTCTTCCACCTGGCCAGGCACTATCCTGCCCCAGGGCCTTTGCACTTGCTATTCCTACTGCTTAGAATCCTCCAGCCTCAGAAATCTTATGTCTCCTTTCCTCACTTCCTTCAGGTTCTTACTCAAAAAATCATCTTCTTAGTAATGCCTTCTGTGGTCACCCTACGTATTACCTGCAACAATTCACAAACACATGGATTCTCATGCTTACACACATCCAATCCCCCTTCTCTGCTTTGTTTTCTCCTCAGCATCCATCACTATATAACAAGGTATCTAATGTGTGTGGGTGGGGGGAGAGGGGTAATATAGTATTTCTCATCTATCTGCCCCACTAGAAAACACAGGGATTTTGTTGATTTTTGGAGTTATGACTGCTAGAAAAAGTGTTTGGCATGTAGGAGGTGCTCAATAAATATTTGTTGAATGAATAAATGAATGGAAGACCCTGGCTCCCTATTCACTTCTCTGCCCACATGCTTTCAAAGTGCAAGCACATTGAGCGCTCACTCGCTTTACCAACCCCTCCTTGGCTGCACGAAGTCCACCTCATGGGGAAGCTTGGCCGCCAGGAAGACAGTTTGTGTAATGCATGTTGGGTCATTCATTCTGATGGACTGTCAGATCTGTGGTCCACATGATAGTCAAACAGGATATGGAATGCTCTCTTCGAACATCCTAAGGAGAAAAGAAGGAACACCCAAAGTGAGAATTTTTCTTACCTGGCAATTTCCAAACTCTACCTGTCAGCTTCCTACTTAAAAGGCAAGAAGACATTAAAGCCATATCTGGTGGAGAAGTTCTCTCCAGAACTCATTCCATCCTCCGGTGCGCAGAGGCAGTGGGTAGAGTGGGGAGGATACGGGGCCCAGAGAGAATAAATAGGATTTGAGCTGTGTAATAAGTCCAACATCCCTTCGTGCTGTTCAGATAGAAGCAATGTGCTTTCCATGGCGCTGTGTTGGGTAGGGTAAGGACAGATTTAAAGTGGAAAACTCTTCTTAAATCATGCACATATGGAGTGTCTTTTTTTGTGTCACGATGCTAAATGAAAGAAACAGAATCTCCTATTTTTTTTCTCCTTCTTACCCCTTCCCTCCTTAGAATTCATGAATTTGCTAAAGTCATTTATAGTACTCCTTTATAGTCCAAAAAGAGACTTCTGCAGAATCGCAAATATCATGTGTAAGAGCGAATAAAAGTAGTAAAATAGACAAACATGTCTCTTCCAACCAGCACCATAAATTCTTTTAAGAAGCGTCTGCTTACTGTCCTCAATGTGCCAATCTTGGCCCCTCCGCTTGTCATCTTGCGATTGTGCTAAACTTTTTAAAAAATCTTTATTTTAAAACCC